CAAGGTCAGCTAGGCCAAGCTGTCGACAGAGGGCTTCCAGGCAGTCAGCAATTGGTCCATTCATTGCCTTTTCATCAAAGCACATGTCTCTATATTGGCACAGAACAGAAGGACCAAGTGGCTATAGAGTGGAACCCAAAGACAAACAATTGGGCATGGAGGGATGTATCCTGTCCAGTGCTGACTGAAAAGAGGGCCATACAACAGCACTCCCATTCCTAACTGTGCAAAAACCATACTTACTGTGTCTGTAACAAGCCAAACACCGTTCTCTCTTCGCTTTTTAATCATCCACAGGCATTAAGATCAGCATAGCGGAGGATGAAGCAGAGGAGAGCCTGCTGCCTGGATCCAAGCACATTCATGCATTTGCATGGCATATGAAACAAGATTCACTTCTGCATTATATTCCAACTCCATATAGCAGGAGCTAGTGGCTTGTATCCATAGGAAGAATGGGTAAGCATGCCTGGATGCATGCTGCTAATTCTGTCTTTAAACATATCCAAGGCTCTTCTTCACTGGATAGCCATCCATCAGGGATGTTCTAGTATGGATTTCCATCTCAGAAACAGGATGATGTTTGAGGTCCCTTCTAATTCCACAGTTGTATGATGCTATACTTTTCCAACAGACTCAAAGCTAGCCTAAGGGCACTGCAATTTCCTAGCTCCACCACAGATCATCAGTCAAAAACTGGCTATTTGATCCTTCACTTAAGAGACAGACTGCAGTGGAAAGTTGCATATATTTGGTTAGAACATTACCAGTTCTTCATTTCAGTACTTTAAGCATGCTCAGATGTATACCATCCACACCTGATGATATCTAAATTTTTTATCTGCTTGTTAGCTGTCACTTCTGGCCTGCCTACAGATTACTTCCCTGAAAAAGGCAACTTAATGGCTGAGAATCTGCCCAACACCTGCAGTGAAGACTGACACAAAAGATTCGCCAACATCTCTCTCCTCCTCCTCCTCCTGCAGCAATCCTTTCACCACCATATCTCGTAGTACCAATTGCTTTCCTGGACTCACCTCTGCTCCTTGTGCATTTAACAACATTTTAATTAGTCTCCTTTTAAATAGCAAGCTATTTGAAAGCTGTCTGGGAGGAGTGAGAGTGTTCCTTTTTATTTTCCACTTCACGACAGCACTTCCACCTTTTAAAGGAAGTAATATCGGCCATTATGGTTTCCTTGACTGAGCTTGCTTAACCGCACAGACAGACATCTCGTTAGCTGTTTTCCCCATCTGCGGTACACATCTTAGCTGAGCTTCCTATCATCTTGATTGAACAAACGCCAAAGGTTCCATGAGGCAGGAAAACCAGAGTGGTATTATTTATATTGTTTTCAAGGTCAATGGCTTTAATTCAAGTTCTAAACATGTTCTACCTCAGGGCTCATCCTGCAAACAAACTGTGCTCGACACAGCACAGAGTGCAACAGCAGCTTTGAACAACATGTAATTAAAAACAAAACATAAGGAGCCAAAGATTCCATAACAGAAAGAAGCAACTATCTGGAAGTGTCTATGCGGTGTCCATGTCAAAGTGTACCCAGAATTGTGTTTTGTTACAAACAGGACCCAGAAATACTTCTGAACTTGGGATGTGTGTGTGTGTGACATGAATAGCACACAAAAATACTTATGGACTCAAGGAGGAACTCAATCAAGGAATCTGAACTACCAGAGGTGTCCCCAAAAGGTCACATTAAGCCAGTGGTTCTTAACCTTGGGTTACTCAGGTGTTTTTGAACTACAACTCCAGAAACCCCAGCTAGCACAGCCGGTGGTGAAGGCTTCTGGGAGTTGCAGTCCAAAAACACCTGAGTAACCCAAGGTTAAGAACCACCGCATTAAGCAACCCAAGACAAAAATATTTTTCAGGTACTGCATGGCAAAACTTTCTGTAGCAAACACAGCAGCGCCTGAGGCTGAGGGCATGCAGCAGCATGCCAGACAGAATCCAGGGTCTGACTCTTGACCAGGCTGTGAACCCATTTAGAAGGAAAGGAATATTCCCAAAAAGCCAGGTTGAGGTGACTTAATTCTACAATTTCGCATTTGATTGAGCAGGTGCCCCATCTTCTCCCACAAGAAAGTTCACAATATAAGTGGGTTCTCTCCCCATTCTTTGACTCCCTCACATTTCCCAACAAGCAGTCATCATCCACTGTCCTATGCAAACTGAAAACAATGGTGACACCTTAACAGGACTGGATGTTGGGGGTGATGAACAAGGAACTCTGCACCCTCTCAGTTCTTCTCTAAGGGCAGCAGGACAATGAGGGACATTACGAGCTGTTCATAAGAAGGAAGAAAACAAGAAAGCACATGTGAAGAAAGTGGGGCTGCGACTTTGCATACACATTTGAATTTAAAGCACCTCACCCTGTCCCCTGTGACTGGTATCCTCTAGACAAGATGTCTACATCTCCCATCATCCCCATCCAATATGGGTGAATGCACTGATGAGAAGGGGTGAGCAAGTCGGCTTCAAGTATTTTTTTGGGAAAGACAGTACAGAGTGCAGAACACCTAGTCAAACGAAGCATATATATAAATTTGAACAATGTACAATTAATACCATTCATTAAAAAGGGGGAAGGAAGGGCCAAAGCAAAGAAGTGGGTGTAGAAAGGTATGCAGCTGGCAAACACTGTAAAACAAACAAACGAATGAAAGAAAGAAAGAAGCATGGCTCATATCGCCCTATTCAATGCTGTCCTGCAGTACAGCCATTGTAGGTGTTTATAATGTGCCTTGTACACATCATCAACAACTCAGGAGTCTTGACCGATCCTTGGCGTCAGACAGAAGGAAACAAACTGCAGGAACTGAAAGACAGAGAGAGGGAAGGATGGCCCTCAGCTGTTTGACAGGTTTACCTGCCTCTGACACAAAATGCCACTGGTACAAGGATGATGCTTGTTGAAGTGGTAGGCAGGAGCTGTGAGCCAGAAGCCACTGACATAAAAAAATAACACCCACACACAGTTTCAGGATTAATAGCTGTCCTTGAAAAAACCCATAAAGCCTCCTGTTTTTAAAAGACGATACTAGGAACAATGACAAACTGCCTTTATAGGCATAAAGCAATGCAGTATGAGAACACAGGAAGTTACCCTACATTCAACAAAATCTCCTGGGTGGGGTGGGGACACCAGAGTAGTTAAGGATCTTAATCTACACACTATAGCTCTGGAATCCAAGAAGACACCTGTTGGGATTGGAAATGCGATTCTCCAAAACCAAATCTAACCCCCAGAAGAACATCACTTTGCTCCTTGCACACACCCCCTCCAGTTGCTATTTGAGAGGCGATAGAGGTGTGAAGGGTGTGTATGTGTGGTAACTGGTCTTGCTCTCAGTTCACTTTGTCACACAGGCAGGGCCTCCGTCTCTACCTTGGCTCAGTTTTCCAGTAAAACAAGTTGTCAACATGTCATGGTACCTTTAGTTGTTTCTTAAAGAGTTCTTAACACAGTAACACTTCCCATAAAGGGGTGGAGAACCTTTAGCCTTCCAGACGCTTAGCCTCCCATTCCTGTCAGCCCTGCCTGCCACAGCCAAGGAAGAAGGACTGCAGTCCAAAATATACGGAGGATTTCCTCACTCATGACCAAAACATACATTGTGGCACCATTTAGTTCCTGCTTTCAATTATACAAATGAATTATGAAACCAATCAATTAAGACTTCAGTTACACAAATGAACCATTACATCACACAATTAAACATCAGTTATACCGATCTGGAAAAATGTTGACGGTCACAGGAACACAGAAGCTTACCTTGAACTATGTTAGACTACTGTGCCACCTAGCCCTGGATGTTGAACTTTGAGTAGCAGCAACTCTCCAAGTTTTTTTTCCTCACACACCTTAAGCTCTCTGGACACCCTCGGTTGTCTCCCATCCAAATACCAACTAGGCCCTTATCCTGCTTGGCTCCCAAACTCAGTTAAATCCTCAAGATCATAGGCTATCTTCCACCTTCCCAATATTTTACCCTATAAGCCACACCAATTACTCAAGATTCTCAACTCTCATACTCTGAACAGTGAGGAATGTTCTTAGGTTTTGACCCACAGCTTGCAAAAACAAACTATATTTTAAGAAAGTAAGAAGAATTCCATGTATCTTGGACCATGCCAGAAGTCCTTCTAGCGTAACATCCTGTTTCTGGTAATGGATGACCAGATGCACCTCCAGGAAGGTCGAAAGCCAATTATGAAGGCACTGATTCTTTCCCATTCTTGCACCCTAAAGAATGGTCTTCAGTCTCATGCTGTACCCAAAATCTGAATCTGAATACAGTGATCCTGACTAACAGCAACTGAGATGCAACTGAACAGCATTTTCACTATATGATTTTTTTTATACAAGGGATTGTGAAACTTAAAAAGAAAAAAGTAAGAATGCTTCATTGTGTAGCACAAAATCTATGCATTCATTTGCCCATATTAGTCATTCCTTTCCCCACAACCCTACTGAGGTCAGGAGGGAAAAAAGGTCTTCAGACTAAGAGAAAATATAACACACCACAGAAGGAATATTTTGAAAATCTGGATGCCAAAACTTTCAACACGCCAGGCAAATCCACATGAGGATTCTGAATAATTATTGAAGGATACTGCACTATTTTTGCATTGAGATAAAAGATGTGCGCGCTTTCAGATGCCAAGTCAAATCAAGTGTCATCTAGTTTGATATTTGTGAAAATGAGGGGTACATCAAACTACCGTTTGTGTGGTGCTCCTTTTTTTGCTTAAAAGACAGTTTGTTCCATTCTTCTGATTATACCTAACAATGATTAGCAACTGGAATTTAATACAAAAACATTGTCTTAAAGTTATATTGGATTTCCTTCTTTCAGATTTGGCAATACTCTACCTTCTAATTTCCGATTAAATGGCCAGCAAATGAAACAGTCACGGTGCTCCTACACCAAAAGGCAACAGTTCCCAGTTCTACTCCAGTGTTTTACACTCACCCTGTCTTTATCATCAGCTACATCACAAAGGATGTCGTCACAGTCAAGAATTCCTCCATCACTGTGTTCCAGACGATGCACTTTTATCCAGTAATTTGGTTCCTGCACAGAAAAGAGATGCAAACACGTCAGACATCAAAGCCACAGCAACTACCTCCTGTCTAAAAAGCCCCTATGCATCATCATCATCATCATCATCATCATCATCATCATCATCATCATCATCATCATCATCATCATCATCATGTGCTGTTAAATCAGTTCTGACTTATGGTGACCCTTTTCAGGTTTTTCCAGGTAGACAATACTCTGGAGTTTACCCTTCCCTTCCTCTGGGGGTGCCTTGGGACTGTTCAGGTTGCCCAAGGCCACACAGGCTGACTCTACTCACAAGAGTCATGGTAGGGAATCAAACTCCCAACCACTGGCTCTGCAGCCAGATAACTAAAACAATTAAGCGATCAAGCCAGCTTGAAAATGCCCTACCCAGTCAACATGTCTATCCCACCTAAAAATCAAGGAAGAAGCTGCTTTCTCAAAATGCAGACCATCAGTTCATCAATATTAGCACTGTCTAATCCAAAAATGGTCAGGCAACCATCTTTCCAAGAATGGGCACACAAGCTCTTTCAAGATGGAGTCAACATGCCACAAAATTCCCTCCAGTGCTTTCTAGTAGCAAAAGACTTTCCCTGCTTCTGGAGCCCTTCAAGAAGTTTTCAGGATAGGGGACTCACCCAAGCCCTCCAACCCAAAATCAAAACCAGATATGGGTGCGTAGGTAGTTCTGGTTTCAAATTTGGGAGGGCAGGGATTAACTGTGAGTATTCCTGGACCCACTGTGGCCTTCTGTGAGTGCTAGGTTGAAAAACCGGCTCCCTGGCCCAGCCCTGACTTAACTCAATGGGCATCTCATCTGTGACTGCATTATGAGACATTTATGAACAAGATCATCACCTAGAGGCTGAAAACAGGGAAAGAGTGTGTGCTCCCTCCCCCACATTCCCTTGACAGCAACATTTCTGGAAGAAAAGAAGGAAAACAGGGAAGACACATGGAAGTTGTGAACACCGAGCTCCAAAAGATAAATTTGAACTAGGTTGGGGGAAGACTGGCAACAAGGCCATCATTTCCAACCTTGTCTCCCCAATTACTTATAGACTACAGCTCCTGAATCCTGGACCATTGCCCATGCTGTCTGGGAATGATGGGAGTTGTGGTCCGGCAACCTTTCGCAAACCTTTGATGCAAGTGGGGAGGTTTCTCCTAGCTTGACTCAGGAAGCTATCTCCAATACCAAGTGGCACTTTGCATTCCCGAATTGTGGTAGCGGGCAAGAAATGCAAATCAGTCTGTACAAATGACTCCTGCATATGAACACCCTCTCTGGATCACTGTAGTCAAAGATCAGAAGTCCAGAATTGATGCAAAGTGACAAGGAGTTAATGCAAGATGCTGAAACAGAAGGAGGTGACAAAGCCTTTGCAAATGGACCAAGGCTACAAAAATGCCCTTGCTTGGCTAGACAAATGGCAAAGAGGACAAACATTACGCTGGCCTGTCATATGCAAGAGGTAGCCTAAACACTTGTTGACAATGATTTCAGATGTAGCAGAAAGAGCCAAGTCTTCCCCATAGCTTGTAGTCTGTTAATTCTGAGCATGCTTTGTTTACTCTTACTGGATGAATCAGTTTGCAAACTCTGGAGCAGAGACTGCAAGTCGAATGGAATCACGGGCATTGTTAGACTGAAGTAAATAATGAACTGAAACATTCTTGAACTGTTTAATCACAAATCTGTTATGCTTGGAGCCAATTGTTAGAACATGCACCACAGTTTTTGACAGACAGAATCAAGGATAGGTAGAACATATTTTGCTTTGTATTCGCAAAGGCTTTCACGGCTGGGATCTAATGGTTGTTGTGGGTTTTTCAGGCTCTTTGGCCACGTTCTGAAAGTTGTTCTTCCTAACGTTTCACCAGTCTCTGTGGCCAGCATCTTCAGAGGACAGGAGCAGCACTGCACCAGAGCACAGAAAGCTACTCCTGTCCTCTGAAGATGACGGCCACAGAGACTGGCAAAACGTTAGGAAGAACAACCTTCAGAACATGGCCAAAGAGCCCGAAAAACCTACAACAACCATGTTTTGCTTTGTCTTTCAATCCAGAGGCAGTTTCTCAACTTCCAGGTCAGCTAAAGTTTGACCTAATGTCAAAGTAGCCAAATCCAATGATGTTTGGGGGAAGGGCAGGATCATCCTTGAACATTTCTGGAAGCAGTTTCTTGACTGAGTCAAGTGCAAACCATGCATCTCCTCTGCCAGTTTTTTCTTTTCTATTTGGTGGCAGGATTGTAAGAGTAAACTACTAAACTGATGGAAGCAACAGTATCCTAATCTCAAAATGAGAACTTGTATGGAACACAATTCTGTTTAAAGCTCTAAGGACTATGACATAAATCTGTGAATGTTTCCATTTTTCAGCTTCCAAATATGTTCCAAGTGATCACTTAAATCATTCCAAATTCAGGATTTGTCCAGATTAGTTTATTACGGTGCTATAGTGAAGAACAATACAATTTTTAAGATGGGCACCTAAGTTTGTTTGTGTATCCAAATTCAGGATTTGTCCAGATTAGTTTACTGCGGTGCTACAGTGAAGAACAATACCATTTTTAAGACGGGCACCTAAGTTTGTTAGTTTCAAATACAGCACTACCAAAAACACAAGTGAGAATGTTTGAACACAGTCAGCTTGAGTGTTAGCAACTGATTTTCAGAAATGACACACTCGGCATCAATCAAGGTTGCTATAAAATCTATGAAATGAACATTTGACTACTTTATGGGTGAAAAAGCAATTGTAAAAAGGAAACCAGATAATGCTTGATCAAAATGGATTCTTCTGTCCTTCTATTGATTTAAGGGGAGAATGGAAAAGCTAACCCAAATATAAATGGCCACAGCCAAACTATTTACATTTTTTTTCCTTTTTATTTCTACCCATATCCCTCATTTTCTTTTTTTCATAAAAATATACATCCTGGATTTCTAGAGTCAGCTTCTTTGCTGAATTGACTGCCCTGCTGATACACTCCCTGTACAGTATTTGCTGTGTGTATGCCTTTTCCTTTTCATTTCTACCCATATCCCTCATTTTCTTTTTTTCATAAAAATATACATCCTGGATTTCTAGAGTCAGCTTCTTTGCTGAATTGACTGCCCTGCTGATACACTCCCTGTATTTGCTGTGTGTATGTGTGTGTGTTTTAAGTCTGCAAGGTACTTATTGTGTAACACAATCTGGGTGGTACAAGGTGCATACTTTTCTCTCCCAGTCACTTAACTCTTGGGAGTATAACATTTTTTTAAAAAAAGCATGTGTTAGGATTTCACACTTAGAAAGACGGATCATAGAACAAAACTTATTTCAATCTCATTAGCTGAGAGAAATACCTGTTCCACTCCTTCATAGCTCACAGATTGTGTAAGAGTTTGTATTTATAGAAAACCTACCAATCCTGCCTAAAAGAAGGGAATGATTTTGAAAGAAGGGTCAGAAGGAAAGAGAGAAACTGGTGATTTTAAGAAAAAACATGTAAAAAGAGTTTACATCTAAGGAGCGCTATTGTAGGAAGTATGAACATAATGATCCATCTTGCCCTTTATTTTTAACTCCATCAAGAAGAAAACAGAATTTATAAATCACACACAAATTCAGACCACTGTATCAAATACCTGGTTGTTTGTCTTGAAAATTATTCAAATCAGTAATAGCCAGAAATATAACATTCCACACAGATACTACTGTAGTGACTTCCAAATTATACAAGTCAGTGAGTTATATCTTGAAATCAGAACTCCCAGAGTCCCTGCTGGGTCTTATTGATCATTCCTTTTTAGTAATGCATTTGCTGGATGTTTCTGTCAACCATGTCAAATAAACTTTAACTCAGAGATTCTTTCTCTCCGACTGCAAATTAGATAGTTATAAATATTTCAGATGGTTTGTTTCTCCTGAAAGATCTCTGAAGCAGTAACAGCAAGAAACACAGGAATGTGCATGCAGACGGATTTCCCAACTTAAATTCCTGGATTCTAGTACCTTAGACTGGGTTTCCCAGTTTTTAGTGGCACCTGATCCTATGCACTTGGCAGACTCTTGTGTTCAATGTTTCATAAAACCTGTAACTTTTGAGATCCTTTCCCTTTAGGCACTAAATAAGTTGTTCATCTGTTTCCCACTAACGTCTTTCTTTTATGGTATCACATCATAAGCTCTGCGATGTTCCCACTTGAAGATGCAAAAGACTTTCAGCAGGACATGTGTTTCCTATGTCACTCCAAAGTTCATTTTAAGGCATTAACTATCGAGATCTATAGCACATCTCATCAGATGCCACTTACAGAAAAACTGAGGAATGGAAAAGAAAGGTTTAACCAATTTCATGGCATAAGTACATTGAGATGAAATGATATATTTTAGGGGTACACCACACGCAGAGAGAGAGAGAGAGAGAGAGAGAGATGCACACAGCATGCAGGTATTTTGGAAACAATCCCAAGCACCAATCCATATGATCCTGCATTAAAAAAGCCTTGGTAACTGATTAATCCTTCTGAGCATCTATTTCAGATTCGGCATCCAATCCTGGTCAACTCAAAGTCTGTTTCCTCCAGACTAAAAGACTTATGAACAAGTCATGATACTAGGTCAGTCTCTAGCATGTTACCAAAGAGAAAGGAGATGCATTTTGAGAGAGGGGGGGATGTTCATAAAATCTTAATCTGCAATTTTCTCTAATTTTAATTTATATGCACTGATGCAAATTTTAAAATATTGATTGAGGCACACTTGAAATTCATGCAAGTGGAAATGCAAGACACTTTGTCACAGAGGGGGGAAATTGAGACCCGGCGAACTTGCGTGCAGGGTGGATTAAATTCAATGATTTTTTTAAAAAAAATTAATTGATTTAGATTATCGTGATTTAAATCATAATTTAAATAGAAACATCATTTTTTAAAAAAATTAAATCATCAAAAAATCTTCATTTTTAAAAAAATCTAAATTCTGCTTTAAATCAAGTTGGTTTAAATTAAACCCACCCTGCTTTTACG